TTATGGAGGGTCATCAGAAAACTAAAAATAGAGTTACCATATGATCCAGGAATCCCCCTCCTGAGCATATACTGGGGAAAAATGAAAAGTAATTTGAAAAGGCACACGCACCACAATGTTTATAGAAGCACTAGTTACAAAAGTCAAGACATGAAAACAACTCAAATGCCCATTAACAGACAATTGGCTTAAGATGTGATATATAGATACATAAAATATTCCATTATATTACTCAGCTAGAAATAAAGAATGAAATAGTTCCATTTGCAGCAACATGGTTGGACCTGGAGTATATTATGCTTAGTGAAATGTCAAAAGGAGAAAGAGGGCTGAAGGGACAAATTAGGAGCTTGGGATTAGCAGATACAAACTACTGTATATAAAATAGATACACAACAATGTCCTATTGAATAGCACAGGGAACTATATTCAATATGTTGTCATAACCTATAATGAAAAACAATATATATGTGTATGTATAACTGAATCACCATGCTGTACACCAGAAACAAACACAATATTGTAAATGAACTACACTTCAATCAAAAAAACAGAGTATTCTAAATCCTCTCTCACATCCCTCAGAACGTTTCTGCCATTCATTTCACTTAGCCATAATCCATAATCACACAATATATTGTTGCTGTTATTATTTTGAACCAACTGTTATGTGTTGGATAAATTCAGAATAAGGAAACAGGATTTTGTTTACCTCCATTTATTTTTTCTCTAATGCTCTTCCTTTATGTGCATCCAAGTTTCTGACTTACATACCATTTTTCTTTTCTCTGGATAACTTCTTTTAACATTTTTTGCAAGGCAGGTCTACTGGTGACAAATAATTTTGGTGTTTTTCTGGGAAGACCTTTATTTCTCCTTTACTTTTCAAGGAGAATTTTGTTGGATACAGAATTCAAGGTAGGTGTGTTTATTTTTTCAGCACTTTAAATATTTTTCTCTGCTTCTTGCTTGCATGGTTTCTGAAAAGAAATCCAACATGAGTCTTGTTCTTCTGTGTGCAACACGTTTTTTTTTTCATTTTGCTTCTTTCAAGATTTTCTCTTTGTCTCCAGTTTTCTGCAGTTTTAATATGATAATCCACGTGTCAGTTTTTAGGTATTTATTATGTGTGGTATATCTCTGAGATTTCTGGATCTGTGTTTTAGTATCCATCATTAATTTTGGAAAATAAATATTCAGCCATTATTACTTCAAGTATTTCTTCTGCTCCTTTGTGTCTTCTCTTTCTGGTATTCCCATTACATATGTGTTACACTTTTTACAAATATCCCACAGCTAAGGAATATTCTATATTATTTTTTGTTTGTTTATTCTTTTTGCCTTTTGGGAAATATCTACTGATATATCTTTAAGCACACTGAAACTTTCATTGACCATATTCAGTCTACTGGTAAACCCATCAAAGGCACTTTTCATTTTTGTTACACATTTTTCATCTCTAGCATATCCTTTGATTCTTCCTTAGAGTTGTAATCTCTCTGTTTACAGTGCCCAATGATTCTTTCATGTTGTCTATTTTTCCATTAGAGGCCTTAGCATATCAATCACAGTTATTATAAATTCCTTCTCTGATAACTCCCGTCTCTGCCGTATCGGAATCTGACTCTGATGCTTGCTTTATTTCTTCATACTGCATTTTTTCATGTTACCATGCCTTGCAATTTTATGTTGGAAACTAGACATGATGTAATAAGAACTGAGGTGTTTGAAGACTTACATTTATTTCACTAGGAATTATGCTGTGTTTACTGTCTTCTGTAGCTGTAGATGTCCAAGGTTTCTCATCTCTTGTCTCAGGATTGCCTAGAAGTCCCTCATTAAATAGAGTCTGAAACCTTTAACGTTTCAACTACAAATATCTGTTATACACAGTAGAATCATTGACGTGGTGATAAGGAATGCTGAGGAGGTAAGTACTCTAGACTCTTATCATCAGTCTCAAATGTTAAGGAAGCCTGAACTTTGCCCCAAAGTGTAGCTTTCAAAGTGCTTCTCAATGTCGTCTGCACTTAGGCGAGGCAGCAATGGTGGGGAGGGATTGGGGTTCTCCTCTCCTCACTGTAACGAGATTGTTATAATTTCCCTTGTGGGAAGGGAGAGAACAGAATGCTGTGAGCTTATTTCAGAATAATGACATTGTCCTCCTTCTATCAGAAGCCCATGGAGATTATTCTCTGGTCTTCAAAATGAGAACTTGGGTTGGGTTCCTGGTGGTAAAACTCACAAAAGTGTGGCGGCCTCCATGAGACTGAGCACTCCCCACGCCCCATCTAGAGTTTTTAACTTTCAAGCTACTCTACAATGAGTTTCCAGGAATTCATCAAAAATTTTAAGTGTTTTTTGAAGTATTCTTAATAATACAGGCTTTAGCAAGGGCTTCGAATCCAGAACTTCCACATAATAGTCTCTGATTCTATATAGGCACTTGTCTGTCTCTCCACTTTTTTAAGGCAGTGTTTTGCCTCATGTCCTCAATACCATAACGGATCTGTTTGATTTTCAAATGTGTTGACTTACAGTGAGAATGGGAGAAGTGACTTCCAAGTTTTACCCTACTGCAGAAACTGGAAGTCTTGACAAGCAACCTTTAAAATAGATTTATTCACCAACGAAAAATCTTAAATTAGAGGTTATTGGCTTCCATCATCAAGAAGGGGAAATTTAATTCAATTTTCCTATCTGCAAAAATGTAAGTTTGTTCTTTTTTTAGTGATGAATAAAAACCTTTGTAGCATGCTTTAATATCTGAAATAAAACAATTCAGCATAATTTAGAATATTTACAATATACAAATTAATTCTAATCTGTTTAGCATATATATGTATTTTAAAACAGAATGGTTACAACTTTTATAACTCATACTGGAAAAAAGAGGGGTTTCCATTCATGTTATCACTATCACTACTCCTAGACCAGCTTGTACCTCTGTGCCTTCTGTGGCGAGGAAGCTGCAAAAAATTCTCAAGCCCACTGACGTCCCAGCCCTGCATCCTCAGGTTTTCCTGCCCTCCATCACCAGGATCCAGGACTCTGGTCTTACGCCCCCTTAACCACAAGCCTCCCCACCCCAGGCGTCTCTAACAGTTCCTGCTGGAGACCCTCAAGGGCCTCTGTTACTTCGGCTGGAATGACAGAGGCAGTGTCAGAATTAAACATGCCATCTGGATTTTAATTCCAGGTGTCAGGTTTCCCAGCATCAGGGGACAACAGCCCTACCACATCGGACACACCCTCTCCCGCTTTCTGACAAAACGACCCAGCCCCAGACCTGCATTCAGAGATCATATCCTTCCCCGGCAATACTTTTATCAGCAAGATCTCTTTGCTGTCCATCATTCCCTGCTGAGCCCTGGCTGCAAAGGCAGAGGCGTGCTTCCTCAGCACCTTGCCATTTAATTCACTAACAGCAAGCCCGGAGGTTCTATGGGACTATGAAGCACTGCTCAGCCTCACTAGGAGTCAGAGACGTGCAAATTAAAACCACACTGAGCCTTCACTTTAGACACATGAGACTGGCAGACATCTGAAGGATGCTAACCAGAAGTACTAATCAGGACGTCAGGACAGCAGGTAATTTTCCACACAGGAGGACAACACTGCTCTGTGAAATTAAGTATACGTGTGCCCCGTCCCCCAGCACAGTCC